TTCCAGCTGCGCGTAAAAAAGCATCTAAAAATAATAACTTCCTAGGGTAGGGCAATGCACGTTTATTATGCTAACATTGAGGAAACGGCCTTTAAGTCTCAACTTGCACATTCATGTGTGTTGCCTCTGGTAGATGGTATAACCATCCTTATACGTATGTACCGATGATCCCTTCCAGCAAACCTCCTGCAGCGCTACAATGTCGAACTTGCGGACCCTCAATAAGTCGGAAAGAATGCGGTTACTTCCCAAGAAATTGAGAGACTTACAGTTTCATGTTCCGAGTTTACTATCGCGTATTCGTTGCCTGAGTCTATGTCGATTGTTCCGGTGCGTATTTACATTGTTTGCTTCCTGTACTTTTTTAGTTTTACGGTCGGCTTGTAGGGCCTGCACCAACCCCCTGTCTCGCCGGAGGACCATCTAGGCACTAGGACGGTGATCAGTCGCTGGTGTGCGTGGTGTATCAATGGTACGCATTCCAGCCATTTACCAGCCAAAAGTATCAAAATGAAAGTCTTGTAGGTATTGCTCGTAGCAGAGAAAGCCAGGATTGATTTAAACGGTTAAGTTTATTACTGTAAACACAGCTTGAAGGTTGGATTAGAACTATATTAGTTATATTTTCTGCCATGGTATCCTTTTGTTATTTACTTAAGCTGATTATCCGTTGCCACAGTAACCTTCTAACAAACGGACCTGGCTTCGGCGTATCCTCGGCTACTTTGTTTCACACTCCCTCTCAATCCGACATTCCTAGGTAAGACGTCAGTTGTTGGAACCGGGTGGCTTTCAAAGATTTTGTGAACAGATCACGGGTACCAATCGGCTCGATGTGCAGTGTACCATTCTCCACCAGATCTTGCTTTTTAGATTTTTGGCCATGCCGATGCATCCTCGGTTGTCCTCATAGATCGTCACTGGATTGGCAATTACCTGAAGGTCGTTCAAATTGCCGCTGATCCACACGGCCTCTGCTGCTGCTGCACTAAGAGCAACGCACTCAGCTTTCCTTGACGACAATGATACGGTGGATTTTTTCTTGTTACTCCAGGATACGAAGCATCCATAGACCTTGAAAATGAAGCCACTCACGGATGTTCGGTCATGAAGGTCAGCCGCTCAATCGGCATCGGCATAGCCTATGAGCGGTACTGATTCGCTGTTCCTTTGGTATTCGAGACTCGGGTTTTTTGTCCCCCTAAGATACCGCACCACTCGCTTCAATGCATTCCAATGCAGGGTTGATGAATCCTGCTGGAACCGCCCGAGATAACCGACAGGGCAACATACATCTGGCCTGACTCTAGCATCAGGCTGCCGAGCAATTCGCGATATGGTTCTTCAGCGCTAGGTCCACCTCGAGGTAGTTGATCGGATAGCATTCGCCCATTCCAAAACGATCCAGTACCTTCGTAACGTTGGTTTCCTGTGACAGGCTCAAAGATCCACCATTACGGTTGTAATTGATCCGTATACCAAGAAAGTGTCGCAATTCTCCGCAATCGGTCATCTCAAAAACAGTAGAGAGCTTCTTTTTTAGCTTGTTGATTGGACACCAATTTCTTCCCGCAATCAGAAGATCAAGCTCGTACCTCTTTTGATACCTGACGTACAAGCAGTAGTCTCTTTTCGATCGTACAAAGCCCAGTTTCTCGATCTGGCTAGTGAACTTCTGATTCCAACACCGTGGTGATTGCTTAAGTCCATAAAGCGACTTTTGCAGGTTGCACGCCATCCCTGGTGCTGACTTCGTACCGTCTAGAGGACAAATGAAGATTGATTCCTTTAGCTCGCCGTGAAGAAAGGCCGTCTTTACATCCATCTGGTGAAAGAAGAAGCCTTCGTGAACACCAACCGCAAGGATGATTCTAATCGTCGCAAGCTTGGTCACCGGAGCGTATGTCATAGTCCAGTCCTGGTTTCTCGTCCTCCTTAATCCGGAAAACCCACTTGGTTTTTAATGGTTTCACGTTATAGCGGGGCATGGTAGCATCTTCCACAGCTGATTTTTCTCCATTGACTGCAACTCGTCTTTAATGGCTTGCAGCCACTCGTCTCGGTCTTCCCGAACTAGCACATGCTTGTAGGTTTCAGGCACATCTAATGTGAAGGAACACGCAGGGGTTGCTTGGAAACCAGTAATATAATCAAGCAACTTACTCAGCGGCTGTTGCTTCATCTGATATGTTGTCCTCTGGATCTTCGAGATGTTGTCCATCGTTGTCTAAATCTGATTCTTCATCGGCAGGTTCGTCTTCGGGCTCAGCTGCTTCCCCCTCTTGCTCGTACGACGGTAAAACGACTAACGGTTTCTTCTCTTTTCTAGGCTCAGAGGCGTACGGGAAACAGGTCTCGTCGAAACGAACGTCACGAGCAATCACTACCTTCCTGCTTTTTCTATTCCATAGGCGGTATCCATTGGGTGTAAGCCGATCATAAGAACTTCTTGACTTTTAGCATCCAACTTTTTTCCACGCATATGCCTTGCATCTAAAAAAAACACGAAACTTCGATATGTCCGGCTTGGATCCCATCCAATATTCGGCCGATGGTACTCCTTCCAGCAACGCTGCGGATGGACTGCGGTTGATCAAGTACACCGCTGTAAGAGCTGTTTCATTCCACATCTGCTTCAGCATTGACGAATCAAGCAACATGGTCCTCACTTTTTCCACAAGCGTTCTGTTCAAACGGTCAGCCACACCGTTTTGTTGAGGCGTGTAAGCGACAGTTACCTCAAAATGGATACCTTTCTTCTTGTAGTAGGCTACTTGTGCCGTTGATCCATATTCCCGACCTTAGTCCACGGTCAGTTTCGAAATCCGTGTGCCGCATACGTCCGAGTGAATCCGCTGTAGGGGTCGCTTTGCTCGGGTACGTGTTCCATCGAAAGGGTCTCGACACTGTTTGCCTTGAGCACAGGTATCGCAGAACCGATTTAGTCCAGGCTTGAAATCCACACCAGTGGCCAGCTCCTTTTGAACGATTCTGGCCATTCCACCTTGGCCAAGATGCCCCAAGCGACGATGCGCAAACGTTACCAACTGGATCACTCACTTTAATATCGAGCTCGTATAAGTTCCCCTTCATTGGTGCAGTAGCGATAACATCGCCTTCCTTCATCGGTACAGCTTTATTCTTGAGAAACAGCACCTCGACACCGACGGCCGCAAGTTTCTTCACTGACAACGGGTTTTCGCGGAGATCCGGCACGTAGAGAACATTCCTCACTTTTAGAAGCACGCCGTGGTTACTGTACCCATTGATTCCGCCTTCGTCCTTTGCTACTAGGTGTTCACCATCCTTCGCCACATTGATCACCACCAGGGGCGAGAGTCTTTCGGTCTTTCCGTGTCTATAAGGGTCAGACAGACAGACAAAAATTCATTTATATAAATTTAAAAAAAAAAATTTAGGGTGCTTTTTTTCAAATAGTTTTAGGTGTTCCCTACAACATTGTCCAAGGTACCAAACAGATTGGACAAACATTTTTCGAGTAACAGCTTTCTGAAGATTAGCTTAACATTTTTCTATAGGCCCTTTTCAAAATTAACGCTTGATTTAAAATGGTGATCTGAAGATGCAAAATGGCATTGTTGGTCATGAGGAAGGTTTTTGAAAAATTTTAGCCAAATAAAAAAAAAACGACAATTAATCGATTTGCGAATTCGTCTGGAATTGCTCAATATTTCAATATTTTAAGAATGAGCTGAAGAGCTGTTCCAAAAACCCAGGTCGCCTTAGTGAGATTCGTTCAGTAAAATGAGCTATTTTGCCTACCTCTACCTTCTACTATAGTCGCTATATTTATAGTCTGGCGAATAGAAATCCGATTTATCACAAAGCGGAACCAATTCAACAAATTGTTGACCAACAATTGAAAAGGTACTATCAACTTTTATAAACAAAACTGCGATAGTTCTTTCTTCGCCAACCGAATGCAATTGAACAGCAACTTTCCCCAATTCGATGATGGAGTTGTTTTGCGTAGGCGACCCTTGAGTCACAAGGAAACGGTTTCCGAAGATTTGTTCGCAAAAGCGGATGTGCTCTTTTCTGTTGTTGGTCGTGATATGCTCGATTGGTTCGGCTATTTCTAGATAGAGCTGGAATTAGGGCGTAACAACCTTTGTAAACAATGAATTCTCTCGTTGATTTCTAGGAATTCAAGGCAGGCCTACACAAACCAACATATCCATCTAGTAGGGGAAGTCTTCTCCTACTCGATGGTGACGTCGATTTGCCAGCCTTGACTTTCGAGAAATCATCAAGAGAAGTCATTGTTTCTAAAAGCTGTTACGCCCTAATTCCAGCTCTGTCTAGATTTGACAGCTCAATTTTTTCCCGAAATTCTATCCGTCAGACTATAAATATAGCGACTATACCTTCTATCCGGTATCGACGCTGAACCTGAACCCTTGTCTTATTGTGTGTACAGTCTCCTAGTCGTGGTACTGACCGCCCCAAATGGCACAACAGCAAATACTAAGCTGCCAAAAAAACCTATTGCTACTGTTCCTTAATTTTTTGGAAGGTGAAGAGGTAAGCCGCAGGTTCTCATGGGAATCCAACTTATGGCCGAACATACATCGTAAGCGCTATTAGAATCTTGTTAAAATTGGTAGTTCATGTTTGTTACATTGAAATTTGTGGTCACATAAGTGCGAAATGATCCTGAACTAGAATCCACGTAGAATATGCATCGAGCAAGGCTTTGATTACATAATTCAAGAATACGAGAACAACCTAAAGTTTCCTTCGGAGGCCTGTATTTCGAGAATCAATTGCTCATATTCAAAACCTAACGATCATAAAACAATTAGACATAGCCCAATTATAGACCTTAGTTCCACGGTATCCAATGAATATCTAATAACCTACTGTTTTGCTCCCCATTTTTCCCCCCCTCCGTTCTCTATCTGCCATCGTGGTCGTCGTGAAAACGCCGTCAACACCGACCGTACCAACTGCTACCCTTCCCTCGCAAAACCCAACAGGTGGCGATGGCAACCGGGCAGGTGCTGTTCCAGCGCTTCTTCTACTCAAAGTCCTTCGTCCGGCACAGTATGGAAGCGACGGCGATGAGCTGCGTTTGTCTGGCATCTAAAATCGAAGAAGCTCCCCGCCGTATCCGGGACGTCATCAACGTGTTCCATCACATCAAACAGGTCCGCGGACAGAAGTAAGTATCCGGTGACGACTCGAAACTCGAGCTGCTCGCATCCGACTATCACTCCCTTTTCCCCCCTGAACGAACACGCTTTATTAATCTATTTCAATTATAGTTTTGTAGGTAAGACGCAATCTTACTCAAAACAAAACTAAAGCCAAACCCCCTTCAAAAAATGTATTGTGCAAAACTCGGTTATTATTAGTTTAGTTTAAATGAAATGTAACGAAAATGTGGTGTTGAGTGTTAGAAAGAGTAAACGAACAAAAGCGAAACAAAAAACTTGCAAAACTGATGGGGCGGTGACATCGTTTCGATGGACAGCGCTTCCAAAGAGGAGAGTGGATTGGCTTTTGACCCTGCACAAGCGGTTGGGAAACAACGGTGAATTCGTTTTTAGATGCACACCAAGCCGAGCACTACACAATCGGTTTCGGGTTGTTTCCATCATTTTCCAACACGCATTCCTAATACCTAACTATCACTATCGACATTTGAACGAATGGCGCAAAATTCGTAGTGCCCGGCAAAGTACATCCAAAAGCAATCGTTGTTTGCAACCGTTTGAGCAGCACCACCGCGACGTCGAGGTGGAAATCACCCGCTGGAACGGGGTTCACCCCGAGCTGGACGGATGGCGGATCATCAAACGATAAGTAAATACTTGTATCAAATAAGGTTTGAAGCGTTTTCGATCTATTCTAACTGTGTTTTCTTTTAGGAAAGTTCCAGCCGTTAGATGTTCAGCAAATCGAGAGGAAAAGGCTTAATATGGTACCGGTTAACCGGGTGACTTTCAACAAATATTAAAGTGATCTCCGGAATTATTATCATAACAAAATATGTGTAATGCGAAGGATTTTTGCTAGTTACCGTGGTGTTGCAAGTCATCCAGTTAATAGGACGCAATGAAATCAGTTTTGGTAGTCTCGAAAAAGCTCGCAGTTAGTGACATCACTAACCACTGTATGTATACATTTATTTCAATATTGCAAGCGCACCTTTTCCAATGGCAACTGCGCAAGTAATCATTGGCACTATATTTCACCTGTTTGGCTATATACAGCTAAGCAGCGGTTATACCAGTGTTGGTAAGTTCTGATGAGACCCGTATATGGCAGGAAGGGTCACTTGTTTGGCTTATTGGTTACTTGGGCGAAACCTAGGAACCTACTCAGCTAGATGTTATCAAGAATTACGCTCTTTGTTCAGAACTCCGTTCACAATCGAGAATTCCAATGAAAAAAAAAAACATCAAGGGCTTTACTGCCGGTGGCAGCATAATTGTCCCATGTTTATATGAAAGTTGAAAAGTACCAACAGTGTATCATTTCAGTCAGACTCTAATTGATTGAGGATCAACCGAACATCAACATCGTTAATATTAACGGCTAACAATGTTCGGTACCGTATTCCGTAGAAAATTGATAACTTTGTATCGATAATATTGAAATAAATGTCTACATTGTTTCTATGCTCTTGTTCCAATTACCGCTCATTGGTGCTAAAACCAACGATTTTTCATATCAGAATATTGCCATTGTTTATTTGGGTCTGGTACATTTCAAGAGCAAATTTTCATTACGTCGAATGTAACAAAGGTAAACAAAGTCGAGCTATCAGTGTCAATCGATGCTCCTGCTATTACACTATATACTGTCCGAATATACGATCACATCCCATTTTTAAATTTATTTACCAGTCGAATTGCTTTTTGATGTAATCACCTTCCGATCAAAATAGTTTTCGATGTTACTTAAGTCACCCGATTTCTATGGAGATGCCCTTTGCCTTAAGTAACAGCACTGAGAAACCCGTGAAAAGTGTACTTTCGTCGTTTCGCTTTCTCATTATTAAAGTGAATAAATCGAGCTGTTTGTTGCTAAGATGATTTCGGTGGTCCTAAAATGATGAATGGGCTGCACGTAAGAAGCGTAATTGATAATTCTCCCGAATATCCTGGTAAATACACTTTGACTTAAGTAACAATAGGGGCCACCAAACGACGTATAATAACTTTTGACTCAAAAACCAGTATTTCTTAGCATGAAAGCTAGCGATTTGCCTGTGTATGATTAAAACCCGGCTAAATATGTTGAACATTGCTATCACTATGAGATTATATGTGTTTAATTGGAAATAGGAATAACTTTTCGGTCATCAAAACAAAACTTTATTTTTCTCGGATCGGTGCGAATGTTACTTACGACATAATGAAAATTTGCTCTTGATTTAGCATAATGTCTGGCAGGGTTCCTTCCATTCATTTCGGCTAAAACTATGTTTTATTAAATTATGGAATAATAAGATATTATGATAATAATTGGTTTGCGTAAGCAACAAGACAAGATTGTAAAGTTTGTATTTGACACATAATACTTGCAAATTTAGGTTTGACAGAGCCACAATGAGTGGTTTTCTGATCGCCTTTTCGCGAAGAGTGAAGAGCGAAGAGTGGGTAAGATAAATGACAAAATCGCTTATTGCGACTCTCATGCAAAATTGGCAGGTATTATGTGTCAAACACAAACTTTACAATATTTTCTTGTTACTTACGCAAACAAAATATTATCATAATATCTTATTATTCCATAATTTAATAAAACATTTTTTTTGCCGAAATGAATGGAAGGGAACCTTGATGTCTGGAATAATTGCTATTATTCGAAAATTTTGAAAACCAATGAGTTAATTTACAAACTATGATTATTCCTTCGTTTAATTACTCCTCATTCTTTCATAATATCCATGTCCTTCCGTGGTAATTAAGGGGAAGTTCACCGCTCCGAAAAAAATATTTACGTTTTGATTTTTCTAAAAATATTGGAAAAAGGTATCAAAAATTTAAAAAAATCACATTTTTTCTAATTTTTCAAAAAAAAAAATCATGTTCAAAAACATGAGTTGATGGGTCGATAGGTAGGGTCCAGGTGTGGGAGCTGCCTTCCTGGCACGTCGGTAGCATTGGTGCTCAGCACGGAAAACAAGATCGACGGAAAAAAACAATCCAAAGGAAAAAAAAAAAAACATTTTTTATAAGTCATAGGGGAATTTACGTATTCTCGTCAATCTAAGCAGCGTCTGCACTTCTACTAGCATTTTCTCAGCGTCACGCACATATATGATGTGTCTGTTTGTTTACATTCATCTGCTGCTTGCTTTTCTATCCATTCCAATCGACAGAATTTTTCAAAACGTTTTGAAAGCGTTTTTACAACGCTCCAAACTTCTCAGGTGAGTGTGACTATTGTCGGCAGCCTCTTTTTCTTCGGCAACCTTCCCATTAGAACTGCGTGTTAACCAGCTGTTCTATTATCGGCAACTCGAAATCAACCCCATTTTGTAGTGCGTATGCTTTATTTGAAGAAAAATGTAGCATTACTGGATTGCTCAATCGTTCAAATATAATCAGATTGAAGCTGAAAGGCTAAACAATCGTTTGGACATATTCAGGGAAGTGCGTTGATGGGAAAACATAGTGAAATTAACGTTTAAATTTTGGCTGCCGAAAACAGTCAATGGGTGCCGAAGCCAACATTTACCCTATGACAAAGTTGGACTCAAAAAAACACAAAACATCGACTTTTCTATTTTGCTAAGAGGCAATTTTTTTCAATTTTTGACAAAAATCTATGGAAGAAACTGATTTTCTTGGATTTTTGATAATTTTTCCCAATATTTTTAGAAACATAATAAAGAACCGATTTTTTTTTCTCGGCCGGTAACCTTCCCCGTAAAACTGCTCATGTTTGAAAATGGGCAAAATCTGCTGTTACCCAAACATTAATATTCGTTCACGCACAATGCATTGGAGAAGCATTCTCTTCTTTAGGGATATATTCAATGAAGGAACTGCTCCCTTCTTTATTAAACATCTGAAGAAGAAAATATTTTCACACAGTGACTTGTAATACAATTACAATTCTATGCGAAAGAACAAGCAGCAATGAAAAGAAAGAGCTATCTTTGGTTGTAAATTAACGAGGGGAATTTACGTATTGTCGTAAATCTAAGCAGTGTCCGCACCAGCATAAACAATAACCATAAGAAGCGCCTAACCACCAATTCGGGATATCATCCCAACTTTATGTGGTATAGTCGTACCATCTATAATATCGTTAGTGTATGGTACCCGTTTATTAGGGAATTTATCAGCGTAAACATGTAAACAGATTGAAGCTGAAAGACTAATGAATCGTTTGAATACATTCAACGAAGTGTTTTGGTGCGCGAAATTAACTATTAAATTTTGGTTGCCGAAAACAGTCATTGAGTGCCGGAGCCATCATTTACCCTATTAGTACAGCCAAACAGACAGAACTCTTCGAAGGAAATTCTTCAAAAATATTGTCAAGCGTATTTTGCATGCACACTAGCACCCTCTATCATGCACATTCCCAAGCATTGGTTTGCAACCGGAGCATCCGTTCATGCAATTTTTTCACTAGTTGCTTTTCCCTCGATCTGTCAACAGCTGTGTTGTATAAAACCAAAACAGATACAAGACAGTTATGTTGCTTTGATTGAATTTTGTGCGATTTTTCCGTTTGCTGGAAACAAGTTTTCAAACGTGGTAATGCATCACTGTATGATGTATTGCACATCAATAACTGGTAAACAATGATAGAATATTACACCCACTTACAGCCATCAAAATGATTTGTTCTCAAATTCTGCGTACATCGCACAGCGTAAAATTACACAAGCGGAATAGCCATTGTGCAGTGATGTAATATTTAACAACTTTTTTTTCCTCTATTCGACGTGGTGTGTCTCCACTGATTTTTTTTTTCTTTATTAAAGAGACTTTCAGCCTTGGGCTGGTTCGTCTCTGGGAATCCCAGATGGGGAATCCCCTATTTGAGGGCGGTGGGAATTCCAGAGGGAAATTACCCTAACAACATAGTTTGGATCCCAGAGGGGGGATTTCCGAAAAAGGACGTGTGGCCCCGGAAACAGAGTTTTTAGCTACGGAGTTTTTAATTTGGTGGCCCTGGAGGGGAACCTCCGAG